TGGGGTCGGTTTCACAAATGAGTTAAGACGATCGTAAGCTTTGTGAAACCGGCCCCTGTTTACTACAGTCTGTAGGAAATCTACAGAGTATGCTACTGCTAATGTCGCTGCCCTGTCAAAAAATTCCCTCATTGTACACCGCCTTTTGTGTGAGTTGTCTAATTGTTTACAGACATCATTGAAATTCGTTTTTCAATTTAGATCTACATGTACCGAGTCCTTGAAAATCTTCAATAGGCTATTGAAACTAATTCGCTTTCACTTCATTATTCTGTCAAGTAACTCCAGTTTATATGCAATTCAGGTAAAGAGTCAATTGAAATTTGATCTGCATGTTTGGTTATTTACTATTCATACAGGCCCGTAACTACAGGGGGCTCAGGGCGGTGCGGGTTGGCGGTGCCACCCCNCTTGGATATATATTCGTCCCCCCCCCCCCTCCCCTGCAAAATTCGAAGAAATTCTCAATTGAAGTTGAAATCAGTCTCTATCAGCCATTGCCCCTCATTCACATGCGGCCGTCCCCTTGCCACATTGGGCTGGTTACGGGCTCGTATTCACCTGTTTTTTACTTTTCTCATTCGGAACCTCTCGGCGGTTTTAGTAAAACTTGCAAACCGTTTTGTTTTTCTTTAGTCGTTGGATTAAAATTTTAAAACAGGATTGAGTGGGTGCCCAACACAATGAGTGGACTTAAATGAAATGGAGCCCCTCCCTTGGGAATTGTTTTTTTTAACATGTGCTCTCCTGCAATGTATTCTGGGGACTGGGGCCCACTTAGAGATAGGGGGCCGTGGACATGGTTCAACCAGTTCCTTTGGTGTTGAGCCACTGAGGATTGTTTGGATTTATATGTAAAGGATTATGTACTATAATAAATCTAATTTATACAGCTTCTTAGTATCACTTTCCTGAATAAAAATCCGAATTATAATTTGTCTACAATTTGATAAAACAGTAATTTTCACCTTAGTCGAGAAGATAACATGCGATGAAAGGTCCGATGGTGGCTTAAGTTTGAAAATAAAAAAAAACCATAAGACTTAAACAACGGTAAAATTTCCTCATTGCACACTGCATGTAGTTATCATCTCATCAACTCAAATGGTGCACAAAATAAAGAAAATAAACTCGAAATAATCGACTTCATAAACATCGTTTTTTCAAAAAATTGGCAAAGTGGCAAGAATTTTGATAAATATTCCCCCTTACTTCATAATGACACAAACTACACAAAAAAACCCACAAACTCGAAATAAAGTGAAAGTACACAGAAGAGGTGCCAGAATGCACCAATTAAAGGGAAAGCCTATATTTTAGACTATTCATAACAATTTTGTTAGCAGTTAGAAATTTTGTTTATGGCATTTTCTTTCACTTGCCCTTCACAAGATGCTTAATCGATTACAACACCTCCCTTTAAATCCTTCGTGGGAGCCGCGGTGGCTCAGTGAGTTAGACGCTTGCTCGTCAACCTGAAGGTCCAGGGTTCAATCCCGACATAGATAATACCTCCGGATTTTTGTGATGCAGGTAAGAGGGGCTGACATGGAAAAAGCGTCTAGTCGTTCGGATGAGACAATAAACCGAGGCCCCGTGTTCGGCCCCTCTGTTCGGTGAGTTCGACTCGTAAGGGCAGTATTTACGTCTCTATTCAGTAAGTTTGTCTTTCTAACAACTTTTAGGAGAAAGTTTACGATGCTCTTGTCCAAAGTTCACTGATTTTGCTTTTCTAAAAATTTGAAATTAAACCATTTCTAAATCTGCCATCCTGATGACGGTGTTAAACCCGAAACACACCTAATGATTAATGGTTATATGATATATTTCAATTTATCTACAGAAAACGGAGATATGTCCCAAATATATCTCCTAAAATTCTATAAATAAATAATGCACTTGGGAGGAAATATTCAAAAATTTAGCCTAAAATCACAAAACTTCGCCTTTCAGACAATTCAAAGATTCATAAACGGTTGGAATATATCTAGATATTGTAGCTTACCTGAAAAACCCCAAGTAATATCCAACGTATTCCACTTGGCAATAATTCACAAGAAAACGTGTTAAAACTGTAAGTATACCACCAGATCAACAGACGGTGGTTTTTCAAATGATAAAACGTAAGACTTGTACAATAGATCATTTATCTGACTCAACAACGTCGTTCCTTACACCTACTATCGAATATACAGTTGCTCGAGATAGATAAAGGACGGTTTGGATGATTTCGAGATATAAGTTTAAAGGGACACGCCCAAGATTCTTTTTCTATTAGTTTATGTTAATTTTCAAATACGAGTTTACTAATTTGAATGTTAGATGTGTACTAAGAGATATAGTCGTCTAATTAAGTATTTTGGACTGATAGAATTAAACTTTACCCGTATCACCCTTCGGTATGAAAATTAGACTTCATATTCGAAGTGGAACAAACTATTACAGACTTTGAACGTGACGTTATAAACTTTTATAAACGTGACGTTTCAGGCTTGTATGAGCGTGACGTTATAGACTTCATTGAACGTGGCGTTAATAACTTATATAAATGTGAGGCTCTAGACTTTTATGTACCAAATCTGTCTTGAACAGATAGTTTTTATACTCAAAGTTTCTTAACACTTTAAATTATATCCAATCAATTTGGAACGAGTTTGGAAGAATGAAGGAGATCGAGTAACTCACGCCACACCATCCAGGGCCGAGTTTCACCGCCATGTCATTCGACCCGACCAGATCTAACGAAGAATCAACAACCAAACCAACAACACAGAACCATCAAGTTTGAACCAATCCAACTACCAACTACTACGACTACCAACAACTACCTAGTTTGCGATATCAGTATCCGCTGGAAGCGAACGTTAACTTGTCGTCTACCAACCAACCTTTTATGTACGTGATGTTATAGATTTTCATGAACGTGATGTTAAAAACTTCCATGAACGTGACGTTATAGAATCAAATTTGAACACAGAATAATAATGAACATGGCGTTATGGTTTTTCATGAATGTGACGTCCGTTTGACCAATCATACTTTAGTCTCAGAAATGGGAATTCTTTTAACTAAGCTAATCAATAATAATGTTCACAGCTCGTCGTCTAAATTTGAACCTTCAAATCCATGTGTGTCCAAAATTATCTGCGTTTGAAAGTTAAAATGACGGCTCGTCATGAAATTCTTTGATTGGGGTATTTTGGAAGGAATTATGCTATTTTTGTACATTTCTAGTATAGTACTTCTGAAGACTATTTACATATATTCAAGACCCAAATCAACCCCCGAAAATGGCAAATCTGTCCCTTCAATGTGTGTGTTGTAACGTACGTATGTATTTTGAACGCTTTGTACTTTATATGACAAAAATAAATGGCAGATGTTGTTGCAGACCCTAACAAAGATTTGGCAATTGCTCACAAGTGAATAGGAAAGTTCAACAATTGTTGTATTTTAGAGTAGAAGAACACGAGTTATTTCCCTTTATGTAAACCAACACTCTACTACCAAATGCGGCTGTAATATATGCCTCTATGAAATGGGTTTATAGCAGGATTAGACGTTGGAAGGGGAGGGAAGGGGAGGGGAGGGGGGGGGGGGGGGGGCAGAAAAACGTCTGTTAGGTAAATGGCATTTAAAATTTAACTATAATAACTAGTTATCTTAGCATTCTAGGGATCTTAATCTACGGGCAGCCTCCCCTGGAATTATTTTGTAACATATGCATGCTCTCTTGTATGTTTTTCTGGGGGAAGGGGTCTCTTAAGGGTGGGGGACCGTGGACTTGGTTCAACCAGACCTTATGGTAGTTCCAGATTGTTTGCGAGAAAGGGGTATACAAGCCTACATGTCTTTTTTTCTTTAGAGCATACTGTCTTAAAGACATTATGTCTATCTGCGATTGGGTTTGTCAACTTAGAATTCCTTTCTGGTGTGCACCTGTAGCTAACTTGTTCATTTCAACTCCACGTTGTATTTTTTTAATTTTTTGTTATTTAGAGATAAAAATTCTAGAATTTAATTAGCCATTAAAATCTGCCCCGTCCAATTATTCTCTATCAAAAATACGTGTGTGTCTATGTAGGTCTGAGTTTTCTATTTTCTTAAATTGGGCACACCTTGAATTTCTTGAATAGTTTTCTTCGGGCCTAATTAGACACATACAATGGCGCAGTTAGACGCCAAATATTTGGGGACAAAGACACAAAAATAGAGCCCACAATAATTGAAAAAAGAAATAAGAACAACACATTGAAAAATAAGGTCTTAGTCGCAGATTAGGGGTTATAGGCTAAGGATAATGGCTAATCCTGCATTCAGGATTAAAAATTCACCAGACGACATCTAAGGGAGGTAATCGGTGATTGTCACCTGTGCAGGTAAACCGGAAGTTTAATCACGTCAGGTACCTTGTTATGAATGACGGTCAAGCGACGGGCTGTGACAAACGTCTGGAATTTTTCGAATTTTTCGTTGATTTTGGTCATTTTGTGACCAATATATATCTTTGATAATCTTCCTTGTATGTTACGGATTAATTTCGTTTGTGTTTTGTTAATGGATTTAATGTGTAATTGCGTTCTAAAGCGAATGTTTTGATTGTAGAAATACATTTGTCGTGAGTGTGGTAAAGCGGGGACCATAGCAAATCAAGCCGATTTTTTGATAATTAAAAATCTGCCGATAGTATTTGAGTATTGAGACAAGGTTGCAGATGTGTTTCGTAATGAGAATAGCTGATTAAATTTGTCTAACCTCTCGCTGTAATTTGATAGCTCGGGGCAATTTACTCGGCCTACAGATCAGTTTTCACCGCGTGAAGCTTGTTTCTGTTTGGCTTTCAAACTTTTATTACATTTAACGTGTGTGATCACAAATTTGAAAAAGTTAAAACGAAAACACGGTGTGGCATTTATTTTAACGGAATATTTGAAATGGATTATCAAATTTAATTCGAGCCGTGCTCATGTGGAAATCGTGTTCATGTGTATTTGTGAACTATGCCTATGAAAGTGACTGTCTGTTTTGACAATGTTCGAGTCATAGTGCCGTGTGGGGACGGGGAAATACTCGTCAGTGAATTAATAGAAAAGGCTGTCCATCGATATAAAAAGGCCACTGGAAAGGTAAGTGATTAGTGATATTGTTAATTAATAGTGGCCGTACCTTTTGATGTTCACCTGCCTCGGAAAGGTAATAATTACTCAAAAGGTATGTGACCTAAAATGGAAGACCGTTTGACATTTTCCGCCATGTTAAATTTGACCTGGTTTTAAAGCTTTAAGGGGGCAAATAAAGGACATCAACACACATTGGGATACTAAATCTATTTACATTTTTTAACTTTTAGCTCTGTATTTAAATATCCTTATGCAAAAAAATGACCCACATTCTTTAAACATTTGTAGCCATTTATGGTTGAAATTGAATTTGTAAACCTCAAGCCCATCCTACTTTTGACAGTATAATAGATTACTCTAAGGTAATTTCAAGTACATTGAATGACAACATTATAGTAAAAAGCATTTAAACAAAGGGAAGAATATAACAAAACTTCCTTGATTTGGAAAGATTTTTGGTTTCTAGTTTGATTATACAATTATATCTAAAATAAAAGTTAGTTGTATAAACATTGTAGTAAAATTCTTTAAATGAAGACAAATGCGATGAAATCTTTCCTAATTTTGAATTTTTCTTGGCCATAATCTGCCTTACTACAAAAATGAGCCTATCATTTCAATCATTTCAAGGTAGCGCTGGAAAGAACTAACTAAAAATCATGTCAAAGTTAATAAATTTGAAAATATTGAAGAAAATGTCATGAATTTTTCTTTACAACTTTTCCCCACCCTCTCATATCTCATACACCCACCTTTAAATATTTTAACGTCTTAGACTGAACATAAAATTTAATTCTCAAGAATGGTCAATATGAGTATATATTCATCAGTGAACTTACCTGGTGTCATAAAGTTTCAACAGAATCCCTGTAAAATCTAGAAAATTGGAAATCATAATCATAATATTAAGCGTTTTTCAATAGTTTATTGCATTTTTATTAAGTTTTTTGGATTTATTGGATTATATAAGGATCCTGTTATGTTATTTATGACACCAGGTATATCTACTGACTCTTATTGGCCAAGTTTAAAATTTAAAATTTTATGTTTATTCTAAGACGTAGTATCACTTTAAGAAGGGCTTAAGAGAGAGTATTGTCCACTAGTAGAGTCATCAGTCTATAGGTGTATAGTAATAAATATACCAAATGAACTAAAGAATTTAGTAGGACAATGAATGGTAGTATCCCTTTTAGTGACAAAAATACCAAAAGGAGAAGAAATGTGAAAAATGAAAATAAACATTGATGAATCATCAAGACCTATATAAATGAGTAAAAATAAATGATGACATGTTTTATACTGTAAATGAAGGCAATTATAGTTGATATTGATAGTGAAATATGACTTGCTAGTTTGAATGATTCAATACCATTAAAGAAATTGTAAAGAGGTTTTCTAAATTTTGTATGTGTTTCAGGGACACTTTGATTTGCAACATTCCAATTTTCAATCAGATGACTGTGGTTTCGGCAATTTCACTAAAACTAAGTGTTGGATGACATCACTAATCTCAAAGGGCTTTATGTGATAATTTCGCGATTAGTGACATCATCAAGCACTTAGTTTTAGTGGAATTACAGGAGCCACAGACGTCTGATTGAAAATTGAAATGTTGCAAATCAATGCTATCAGTGTCCCCGATATACATATTTTTTTTAGACAACCTTTGTACAATGCCTTCATAGTAATATATGACTCGCTAGTTGTCTTATTCAATATACAAATTTACCCATTAATACTAGCAAAGCACAATTCTTATACACACAGTCATTTCATACTTGTGGTCCAAGAGAACTGTCTAATTATGACTGATATAGATAATGATAGATAACTAGCTAGTTTATTATTCAAATTATTCATCATTAACCCTTACTGTTTTTTTGCCTGCGATTTTTCTCCGAGGCGAAAGGGTTAACTAAAACATTGTTAGTATCAATAATGCCCAGTTCTAAGTGTGTGTATATCAGTATTATGTAACAGGTTTCTTTGGTGTATGGTTTATTGAATATGATATACAAGATATTGATATCTATTATGCCCAGTTATATGTGTCATGTAACACTTCCTGTGGTTTATTTTCTATTGAATATGATATTGAGGGGAAAGGGTTAACCAAAACATTGTTGATATCTATTATGCCCAGTTATATGTGTCATGTAACACATTCCTGTGGTTTATTTTCTATTGAATATGATATTGTGGGGAAAGGGTTAACTAAAACATTGTTGATTGAATAATGCTCAGTTTTAAGTGTGTGTATATCAGTATTATGTAACAGGTTTCTTTGGTGTATGGTTTATTGAATATGATATACAAGATATTGAGGAGGAAAGGGTTAACTTAAACATTGTTGATTGAATAATGCCCAGTTTTAAGTGTGTGTATATCACTATTGTATAACATTTTCTTGTGGTTTAGATACAAGGTATTGAACAGGAAAGTGTGAACTTAAGCATTTGATATCAATAATGCTCTGCTAAGTGTGTATATTAAAATGATATATGTTCCTGTCCTTTATGATCTATTGTATGTGATATACAAAATATTGTACATTGGAACCGTATTTTGCTTCTGTACCTATTTTTTTCGATACTTTAAAATTGAAAGGACCTCATAGCTCTCTTGACAAAATGCAAATTTACATAAAAGAAGTTTTCTCCTTTCAAAATTACATGATATTGAAGTAGAAACCGCTCCGTTGCCAGGAATGAATTGGTGTTGGGGCTCAGATTTTGTACTAAAAAAGTTTGAAGTATTAAAGGCCCAGGGAACTCATTTCTGACAATTTTGAGGTGCAGAAAACATATCAAAATCTATATCATTTTGATTTTATACAAAGACACTGTAAATGAATCAATCTCTGCTGAACTAAAAAAGGTTTTGCTGGGGCTTAATTCTCACTTGCTGGGGCCCAGACCTCACAGTAGAAAGTAAAAATTTAATTAAATTATCCCCATCAGTAAAATGAGACATTTGATTTTTGTTAATCTAATAATATACAGAATAAGGTAGAGAACAGTAACTGTTAGGATGTAACATGACATTTATTTCCGTTAACCAAATCTTGGAGAAGAAAAGTTAAACTCTTTTAGTTAGCGTAAGAGATTTTTTTTTTTTTAAATTCTAAGATGGTATCATGTACAATTGAGTCATTTATCAAGAATTTTGCAGTATTTTTAACCAATCTGGTGCGAAAGTTAAAAAAAATTATCACTCAACACAGGAAGTCTTGCTGTGTTTGTTTTCAAATTACCATTTTATAATGAAAAATATTTATAGTCACCTTGTAAAAGTGATTCAGGCATTTGGCCATTTATCTTGCTTTGAATGAAAACAATAACATTGTTGAAAATTGAATAGAAATAAACACATAGAACTGTGATTGTTGAATGATAGGTAATAGCAACACTGAGGTGCATTTAGAAAAATTATAGGGGGTAGGGGGGCATAATTGCTCGTTTCCAGAGAGAAAGTTGGGGGGGGGGGATGGAATGTACAAGGTGTTGCAACTAGATACATGCAACTCTTCCTGGCAGTCCAAACATTATTTTGCCCCACACACCCTAGGCCAAGACCTTCTAAACCCACTACCTGAACTACAAAGAAACCGCCAGACCCATTACTACATTAAATACCCATCTTCCATGTCACCTTACAGTGGCAGTGGGGGTACAGGAAGCTTGTGACTGTGACCCCTCCACAGAGTTTCTGCATTTTGAATTCAGCCTCAACAGTTGTTCCCCCATTAAGTCAGTCTGCCTCCTATTTGTACCGGGGAGCCGTGCTGGCTCAGTGAGTTAGACGCTTGCTCGCTAACCCGAAGGGCCGGGGTTCAATCCCGGCATAGGTCGAGATAATACCTTCAGATTTTTCAACCCGTTTCCCCCCTGTTAGTTTAGTGATGCAGGTAAGAGGGGCTGACATGGAAAAAGTGTCTAGTCTTTCGTATGGGACAATAAACCGAGGCCCTGTGTGCTACAGGCTGTGCACGTTAAAGATCCCTCGAAATCGAAATCGAAAAAGAGCAGACTAATGCCACTGTCCTGGCAAAATTTCCCTCATGGCACCCTGCATGGCGTTGTCCGTCTTCATTAGCCCACATGGTGCATTTCCTATTTGTACCCTATCAGTCTCGGAAGACTGGTGCCACTACTGTTCTTTGCCCTCTTGGCACATTTCTAAAAATAAGATATCCTAAACTGCCAAAAGACAATGAGATAGCTCTGAAGATAGAACCAGCTCACTGATGGTAAAAACACACCAAGATCTGAAAGATGTACCCAGTCTAATAAAACAGATGTGATGTAACAGTAGAATTTAAAATACTTCCAAACATGATATAACTCACAGCTGTCTACAACTTTCATCTAACAAACAAAACATGCTCTTTACTTTTCATACTCTTAACATGCTACAGCTAAAAACCTGTAAGCTAACACTGGATGTGATTTGCATTCTAAATATATTTTGAATTTTAGTTTATAGAGAAACTGTCTGCTATTATATGCCCTGAAATTCTTTCAGTTGAGTTAGTTGACAACAAATTTGGCTTTTCTTCTCACAGGATATTGAATAAAGTTATATCAACTGTGTCTTTAGGTACTGTTACTAGTACAATTGGTCATTATCTTACTACAGTTGGCATTTATTTTCATTTGTTCTAATTTGTAGGCCTTCAGAACATTAATAACCGTTGAAATTACACAAAAACATATTAGTTATTAGGTGTCAGGGTGAAAAAAAATCCAAAACATCTGCCTCTAATCCATCCTCTGATTTGACAGTTATAGGCACGAGTAGAATAGGAAAACTAGGCCTTTTTACGGTGATTTTTCTAACATAACATTAATTTACCTTTACAGGGGTGCAGAAAATCCTCGCAAAACAAGGCCTAGTTTTTCTGTCTCTACATCAGCTGACAAATGTCAAAATAGCTAACAGAGGCTATTGAAATTTCTAGATGCACATGAGTCAAATGACCTATAAAATTGAAATGACATTACCAAAAAAACTGCATTAGTACTATTGATAACAATGGATGATGACTAAGATCAATTACCCATTTGATTAATTAGTACTAATTACTAACTAATTAGATCATTATCAATTCAATGTCCTTTTTAATTACTTTTAACTCATGATGATGAATATAGTCCAGGGACAAGGTCTAACTTCAATTCGACTATTGTTCATGGTTTTATACTTAAAGTGATACTACGTCTTAGAATTAACATAAAATTTAAAAATTAAATGATAAGAGCCAGTAGATATACCTGGTGTCATAAATAACATAACAGGATCCTTATATAATCCGATAAATCTAAAAAACTTAATAAAAATGCAATTAACTATTGAAAAACGCTTGATATTAAGCGTTTTTCAATAATTACTTAGTTTGATGAATTTTCCAATTTTCTAGATTTTACAGGGATTCTGTTGTAACTTTATGACACCAGGTAAGTTCACTGATGAATATATACTCATATTGACCATTCTTGAGAATTAAATTTTATTTTCATTCTAAAACATAGTATCACTTTAAAAGATGATAGTCAAGATATTTGAATTGCAGTTTAGAAATACATTGTATTAATTTCGTGTAATTTCTTGCATTTTTCAAGGATAGAATATTTTGGTAGTTGGCCTAAAGTTACAATAATGATTTAGTTAAGATTTGAACGATATTTAGAAGCTGAGAGTACATATAAGAGAAAACACAAGGGAACATCGTGGGTGACCGCTTGAAACCTCGTATAACGATATTTGACGCGGAATTACTTTTCGAGAAAAAACCCAAAAAACTCTTTGAACTCGTATTTTGTTAAAATCTTTTACAGCTATTCGTGGTTTTCATTCTTTGAAAATTTAAACCTCGTATAACAATTTGAAATCTCCGGCCTATTGAACCAAAAACTTGTATAATAATACAATATACGAGGTTTTTCATTTTCATCTGCAGAAAACAGAACATTGGACCTCGTATAATAATATATTTTACAAGGTTTTAAATCTGACTGTTTATAAACGTGTTATTTAATTAGTGCTTTTTGAGTTATTTACAATTAAGCTAAGAATACGAGGTTTTGATCACAAGATCCACGCTTTTACGAGCTTTCGGTACCAAAATGTCAAAATGACCAAATATGGCATATACAAGGTTTCAAGCGGTCACCCACGATATATTATGGTATAATGATTTATTTAAAAGTTAAAGGGATTGTAAAGAGATTTTTTTTAATGTTTTATATGTATCAAGAACACTGATAGTATCAATTTTCGCCATTCCAATTTTCAATCAGATGTCTGTGGTTCCTGCAATTCCACGTAAAATAAGATACTGTCCTTCATCGTGAAGGACATTATGTAATAAAGTATATTTTGTAATTAGTGACATCATCAATCACTTAAGTTATAGCAGAATTGCAGGAATCACATACGTCTGATTGAAAATTGGAATGGTGCTAATTGATGCTATCATGTGGTCAAAAATTCTCTTAAAATGACAAACATTTAGTCTTTAAAGATGGGTTCCCTTATTTTCATTTATGAAAATGAAAATTTTAATACTTATATGAATAGAAAGTAGAGGTGTTCTAATGACTTGGAAAAATACCAGTTTGTCTCACATGTCCATAATTAATTCATAATTAGCTAAATTAGAAGAGAATTACCAGCAGAGTGACCGATCAAGAAAGGCCAAAAAGTATTTTATTTTTTTTATCCAGACTGTACATACATGGACATTTATAATTGGTAAAAACTCTTAATTATATGCAATAAGAACATAATGATATGATTAAGAATACATGATAATTCATTAGAAACACCAATTAATCAAATAGTTTTCTTAATTTGACACTGAAAAATATGGAAACCCATCTTTAAGTTTTTCTGGCCCTAAGGATAAACATGTATTACACATGTAGTTGTGAGTGGGAGTAGAATGAATTATAAACCTCCTTCCCCTGGGGGCTATAAGTATTTATAGTTTGTAACTTCTATATGTGGTAAAGCGAGGATTTCATTGATGAGAAGGCCACCATTGGTTAGTTCTTTTGTCTCTGAAGTGTCACAAAATGGTGTAGGGACAGGACGGGAAAAGACAGAATAAATACAACCACCCCCTAAATTGGATATATATAGTATTTATTTATGTCAAAACCTTTCCCCACAGCCTTGTATTTCAACCCAAAGGGCTCAAGATGGGTCACATATGGAGGTATGTTGGTGACTAAAA